CCTCACAGATGTCTTCTTATCTTAGATGACTTTGCTTCTCATCCTTTGTTAAAGAACAGAGAACAAGACATGTGTCGAATTCTTAAGAAGCTCAGACACTTTAACATCTCAGTTGTCATTTGTGTACAGACAGCCAAGAGTTTAAGTAAGGATGTAAAGAGAATACTTACTGACATTGTACTTTTCCCCGGATTGTCCGAAGACGATTTCATGGAACTTATGAAAGAGTCCATGGCAGGTAAGTTTGACAGACATGAACTATGGGAGAAGTACAAAGTCATACAAGACCCTCATACTTCTTTCAGAATTCATATCTACGCGAACAAAGTTCAAATTGTAAAAAGTCAAGCGTAAAAATGTAAGTGTTTGAGTCTTAGTCTGTTGTGGTGCTGGGGCTGTCGGTTCTTCTGGCTTTGGAATGGACTCGGTTGGTGGTACGTCGGACATTCGTTTGTGTCCTGTCGGAAGGAAGGACTTTTCCTGTCGGAAGGAAGGACTTTTCCTGTCGGAAAGAAAAACTTTTCCTGTCGGAAAGAAAAACTTTTCCTGTCGGAAAGAAAAATTTTTCCTGTCGGAAAGAAAAATTTTTCCTGTCGGAAAGAAAAATTTTTCCTGAAGGTCGGCCAAAAAGTTCTCAATTTTCGAAAATTTGAATGGTTTACGGACGAACAACTGGAAAAATTTTTCCTGTAGGAAGGAAAATTTTTTCCTGTAGGAAGGAAAATTTTTTCCTGTTGGAAGGAAAAACTTTTCCTGTAGGAAGGAAAATTTTTTCCTGTAGGAAGGAAAATTTTTTCCTGTAGGAAGGAAGGACTCGGAATGCCAGAAGGACTCGGAATGCCAGAAGGACTCGGACAAGACAATTTACCATCTAGAGCTACCTGAAACATCTTTGGTGTCAAGCTTGAAAAATAAATGGTTCATTTACTCTTCCTCTTTGAAGTTGTCAAAATACTCTGTTATCTTTTCCTTCAGTAGCGGCAAATCTTCTTTGAATGTAAGTATTGTACAACCTTTCATATCATAGTGTGTTTGAGGTAACGTATCTTGAACTATCTGTTTAACATCTTCATTTGGTGTCATTGAAATCGGTAAGTTTTCGCGATAGAACCAATTTCTGTCAGATTTGTAAATCTTAGCTAAGTCGTAAAAGCTTTTGTTGTTTCTTCTGACTAAATGCAACATAACCATATCTCTGTCTTCTTCATTTTCCATCTCTTCAGTGTAAATCATATACTTATAGTTCTTTTCCTTTCCTTTTGGTACCGAACGTGGTATTCTTTTCTGTATGTTTTTGTCTTTTGCTTCAAGCTTTTCCTCTCTTCACGTTCTTGTCTATGAATTTCATCTAACATCATGAAAATATAACAAGCATAGCGAGGTGAAGCCCACATTGCAACAGCATTTACAAGAAGTCTATGTACATAATATCCTTCAAACCAGAGCAAATTTTGCGATTTTCGTACGGAATCTCTACCCTCGGTTTTCCGAGGTCGCAAACATATGAGGAAATTCTTCTAAAAGTTCTTTTGTCTGTTGGTTTTCAAACCAATGATGCTTGCTTTGTAGAACGAAGAGCATTCAAAATACTTTGCATTTGGTACATGTCATCTTTGACCGAACGAATGAGACGTAACTGTTTGTTATACTGTATGTACTCGTATTCTTCATTTATATCTTCATGAACGATAGCAGTTGTTGTGTTCTCTGATGTTGACATATCTGTCTTTACATACAAAATAAAAAAAATATTTTTTAAAAAACTAGCGTTATTTTCTATCTTGTATAAAAGACCAAAAATAAACGCTTTACATGTATTTTTCAGCAACTTCGTCAAATAATTTTATAGCTTTGTCGATCTCATCTACTTCAAACGTTTCTTTACCTCTCGTGGGAGCACCATACATTTTCTCAAACTTTTCAAGTAGTTCTGTTTCTGCAGCTCTCATATCGTTAACAAACGCAACCTTAACTCTATTGACTATACTGTCATATCTTTGAGTTATATTAAATGTTCTTCCTATCTTATATCTCTTTGTATTGAAGTCCTTCGGTTTCTGAACGATGTAAAGTAAGCCTTCACTGCAACGTTCCGTATCGAATGAACCATATGTTATGAAATTATATCCAACAACTGGGTCAATCCAGAACAAAACTACTGGTATAAGACTTTTGTCTATAAGATATGTTCTTGTTCCATAGAATCTTACCGATATCATCAGCTCAGGATTTCTTGTCAAAATTTTCTGAGTTGAAGCATTTTTAACCCAGTCGTGTGCTTTCTTTCCTTCAGATAGTGTTAAAATGTCTGACAAAGAATATTTTTTGTATTTCTTTGAGTATCTTACGTTTAAATCACCTATTCTAACCACCTTGGTCTCATTGTCTATCTTTTTAACTGTTTCAAACTCAGTGTTTGTCATTTCCTGTCTTTACATACAAAATAAAAAAAAATATTTTAAAAAAACTAGCGTTAATTTTATTTTTTCTATCTTGTATAAAAGATATGATTTCATAGAGTTTTTTTCACGATTTTCATGAGTTTTATGCAAGGCCGAGAATTCTCGGTCTAGAGAAATTTCACTGTTTTCATAGAGTTTTTTCACGATTTTCATGTGTTTTAGGCGACCCCGAAAAAAACCGGGGTCGCAAATTTTTACGATTTTCATAGAGTTTTTTTACGATTTTCATGAGTTTTAGGCGACTACGGTTTTTTCCGTACTCGCAATTTTCCACGATTTTCATAGAGTTTTTTTACGATTTTCGTACGGAATCTCTACCCTCGGTTTTCCGCGGGTCGCATTTTTTTACGATTTTCATGTGTTTTTTTCACGATTTTCGTACGGAATCTCGACCCGCGGTTTTCCGCCGGTCGCAAACATATGAGGAAATTCATGAAATTTGGTCATTTTTTCACGATTTCATAGAGTTTTTTTACGAAGTGTCAAAGTTCACTTCGTCAAAAAAATACAGTTATATCATGAAATTTGGTCATTTTTTCACGATTTCAGGGATTTTTTTTACGAAGTGTAAAAGTTCTCTTCGTCAAAAAAATACAGTTATATCATGAAATTTGGTCATTTTTTTCAGCAAAAATATATTTTAGGTGGAACCAGGTCCCTCGGTCCCTCGGTCCCTCGGTCAAATGAACTTCTCTGAAAAAGTGTGACAACATGACATTTTGACAACAACACAGGAAATAGACTTCTTCGTCGATGAGCGTAAATCAGACAAAAATATATTTTAGGTGTCACCTCTTTTTCACAAGCGTTTTACATGGTATATGTTGTGATGGTTCATGACTTTAAACAGTTTTGTAGCTTCTATTTCTTCACGAAGGATATCAAAAGTTTTAACTATGCCGAAAGTTTCTTTGTACTTCTTCTTGACATCAGATAGAAGGAAATCGTTAGCAGTTGGATAGTTTTTGTTCAGAAATGTCAACATGTCCATTTTATCTTCTGCTGGTTTCTCTGCTTCTTTCTTTAAGTCAGTATAGTCTTTTCGCATACGTTCTATCTCTTTGACGGAGTAGTTATATTTCTTCATTGCTGCTTTACATTTTGAACATTGTGGGTTCATTTTAGCATTATATTCTGAAACCTTACCTGCTAAAACAAGTAAGGCGTAAATGGTTTTCTTTAACTCAAAAGTTGCTGGTTTTATCTGTTGGTTCCATACTTTACCTCTTCTATCTTTATCTCTTATCTGCCATACACATTTTGCAACTAACGAAACAAAGTTGTCGTAGGTCTTAAATTCTTCAGATTTATATAGGTCAATGAAATATACCATATCGCAGTCTTTGTGGTTGCAATGAAATCCAAGAAACTCATAGTTTACCTTACGTATGAACTTCTTGGTTTCTACTGAGTCAGTTGGTTTCACTTCTATTTCATCGAATTCTGGAATAGTGAGCTTTTGTTGTTGTATTTCAGGAAGTTTAGGTAGATGCTCCACCAGGTCCTGCATTTCATAAAGATACTGTTCATTTGTTTCATCTTTCGCACTACAGTCTAAATCTCCTTGGAGAAGTTCTTGCTTTATCTTCTGGATTTCTGTTTCGAAAGTATATGAAGAAGGAATGAAGCTTTTCATCTCTACTAACATAGATGTTGGGTTCATGACTAACGAGTTTGGTGCTGTTGTTGCTGACATGTTCTTACAATAAAAATAAAAAAATATTTTTTTTAAAAAAAACTAAAATATATTTTTGCCGAATTCAAGAGTTTTGTGTGTTTTCTACGGTGGGGCCAAAAGTGGCTCGACCTCAAAACAAGCATTTCGTGAAGAATATACCAACCGCCGGAATTCCGGCGGTTGCTTTTTTTATACAAAACATTGACGATGAAAGTCTTGACAAAACATTGACGATGAAAGTCTTGACAAAACATTGACGATGAAAGTCTTGACAAAACATTGACGATGAAAGTCTTGACAAAACATTGACGATGAAAGTCTTGACAAAACATTGACGATGAAAGTCTTGACAAAACAAGCATTTTGTGAAGAATATACCACCCCGCGGAATTCCGGCGGTTGCTTTTTATACAAAACATATACGATGAAATCATGGCAAAACATTGACGATGAAAGTCTTGACAAAACAAGCATTTTGTGAAGAATATACCACCCCGCGGAATTCCGGCGGTTGCTTTTTATACAAAACATATACGATGAAATCATGGCAAAACAAGCATTTCGTGAAGAATATACCACCCGCCGGAATTCCGGCAGGTGCTTTTTTTATACAAAACATATACGAAGAAGTCTCAACAAAACAAGCATTTCGTGAAGAATATACCACCCCGCGGAATTCCGCGGGGTGCTTTTTATACAAAACATTGACGAAGAAATCTATCTCCTGTGTTGTTGTCAAAATGTCATGTTGTCACACTTTTTCAGAGAAGTTAAAATGACCGAGGGACCGAGGGACCGAGGGACCTGGTGAGATCTAAAAATATATTTTTGCCGAATTCAATAAAAATAAAATGGTTCATTTACTCACAATATTTTTGTACAAAAGGACCCCAACCTTTTAACCTCTCTTCTGCAGCTTCTAATGAAACTTTAGCGAGTTCATATTCTCTAAATTCTCTCTTTAAATCTTCTTGTTCCCATTGGTCTAGTTCGTATGGAGAGTCTCTATAACCAGAACATATCTCACGTTCATGTTCTATTTGTTTTTCATGCATTTTTCTAACTTCTTCTTCGAACAAAGGTTTAGCATTCTCTACTGTATCTTCAAGTTCTTCTTCATCTAATTTCTCATGAACTTTCTTGTCTATGGAGTCCATAATTTTTCCAACTGCTATGCAATATTTTGGAGAAGCCCACATTGCTATATAGTTTACGAGTCTTGGGTCTACATACATTCCTCTAACCTGTTTGATTTCATCGGGAATTCCTGCATTAACATTGTATAAAAAGCAACCCGCGGAATTCCGCGGGTTGGTATATTCTTCACAAAATGCCTTAAAATACTCTTCCCAGGACTTATTTTCCAACAACCTTCTAAAGTCTTTCCTAAACTGCTGACATATCTTTGTTGCATTTATATAACCATCCTTGTCTCTACGTAAGACTTCAATACCGTTATAGGTGCCTTATGTGAATGTTTCGCCATTAGATTTGTTCGTGAACGTTTTTGCTTCGACTGTCATACTGTTCTTACAATAAAAATAAAAAATATTTTTTTGGTGGTACGTCGGACATTCGTTTGTGGCTTAACCGTCGGACATTCGTTTGTGGCTTAACCGTCGGACATTCGTTTGTGGCTTAACCTCAAAACAAGCATTTCGTGAAGAATATACCACCCCGCGGAATTCCGCGGGTTGCTTTTTATACAAAACATATACGAAGAAGTCTCAACAAAACAAGCATTTCGTGAAGAATATACCACCCCGCGGAATTCCGCGGGGTGCTTTTTATACAAAACATATACGATGAAATCTATTTCCTGTGTTGTTGTCAAAATGTCATGTTGTCACACTTTTTCAGAGAAGTTAAAATGACCGAGTGACCGAGTGACCGAGTGACCTGGTTCCACCTAAAATATATTTTTCAATACTTTTTCAGCACTTTTCCGTAGTTGTATATGAAAGACAATTCGAGATAAAAGTCATAGTACAAAGGTATTATATGCTGCACACCGTTTGTTGTGAACCAGACTTGAAAGTCAGAGAAACTGTTACTAGGTGGTTCGTAGAATTTAGAAGCAAAGTCATAAAAGTCCTTACCAATACAAAGAAAACTGTTGTTGCTTGAACTGAAACTTGCATGACACATAACATTTTGAGGATCGAACACGTTTCTATAAACTGTCAAATCTGTTGGTGGGAGTATAAATTTAAACGGGCCGTCAGGTGGCAATGGTTCGTTCTGGTTTAGTAACCGAAGAAATTGTGCCCAAGAACGTTTGTCTACTCCCCAATATAAAAACTCTGTATCTCTTGGAGGGTTATTTTCAATCCTTTGAAATGAAACTGTGGAATTCATCTTGTCGTATTCTAGTTTTAGATAGTATGTTCCATTTAGTAAAGAGTGGTATTTTTCTTGAAATTCCCAGTAGTATTTGTTTATTTGAGTTTGAAAGTCATTTAGAGTTTTTTCAAGACTTTCGTCTGAACGAATTGTAAAGATTTTCATTTCGTCAAATTTTTCTATTAGACCGTCAGAACCTTTATACTGACCGTGAAAATATACTGCGAACATGAATGCATTAGTTCTATTTGAAAACAAAACTCTTCTAAATCCTATTGCCTTTGCATCTGAAGGACTTTGAAGCCAACGAACTGGATAGTCAAACCTGTAAGCTCCGGATGAAATTTCTTCATCTGAAATATTCCTACCAGCGTTTGTAAAGATATAGTCTAACGGTTTTGTATCTGCTACTTTTGTTCTTTGTTTTTCAACCTGAAGCATTTTATATATGTAAAAATATACTGTTTTAAAAACGTTTTAAAATGGTATGCAATGTTTAACTATTTCATGCAATGTTTAACTATTTCACCATCTTCTTTAACACCCCAGTACTTACGTTTGGAGAGGACATGAACTTCGGAAAATACCTTGTCTAGCTTAAAACAGCCCATTTTCTCACCGACTAAACCCATTTCAATGAGTTTGTTATAGCCTTCCTCGTTCGTCATGAGTGCGTCAATGTTCTCATAGTATACCTTCACTTTGGATTTAACCTCTGAGAAAAATTTGTTGTAGTTGTCAAGGACTGCCTTTGCGAACTGAGGATAAGACCAATGTTCGACAATAGGTTTTACTGTGGTTACTAAGCCACCTTGACCTTCGGTGAACTCGTATTTCAAAACAAAAGGGGAGAACCTTTCAACAAAGTTGTCGACCTTCTCATAGTGTTTACTCTTCATCTTTTGAGGTTTTTTAATGGAATACCCCCATGTCGAATTCATAAGCAATTTGATTGTCATTGCAAGTTTGGGGTTTGAAGCTTTCCTAATATCATACATTTGTTGTATGACTTTTCCAACTGTATAGTTCCTTCCCGGGAAGTCACCGTCTTCGTTTGGAATTCCAGTCGGGATATATTGGACGAACCTCATGTACGCAGCGTTAAGGTCGACATAGTATATCTTTTCATATGAGTCGAACTTGTCGCATCCAATCGGACCAGTTCGTGGAAATTCAAGTGAGTCTCTTATCTTTTGAGAAACCTCGCCTGTTATCTCATAAACATCGTCAAAGCAACCTGTTTCATATAAAATTTTCTGACCTAACTCAGAAGCTCTCCAATACAATTTGACGTCAATCGGATGTCTCAATGGAAGTTTGTTTATAGCATCTTGAAGTTCTTGCAACCTCATTGGAAGTTCTTCTGGTTCAGGTTGGTATCCGAACAATCCAACTCCTTGTGGAATTGTGTACTTCTTTTGTGCTATAACTTTGTCTGGAACAACTTTTGGTCTTGCTAACAATGAAAAGTTTGTTTCGTCTTTTGGTACAAAAGTTTCTGTCAGCTTGTCATCTGGAATTGGTTCCAACAAACCTTTCTCGAAAAGAATGTTAACAGCTCTGACAATGTTGCACTTGCCTTTTCCGAACAATGGGTTTGTAAGACTTTCGTTCAACATGAAGTGGTTGTGGACAAGTACAATCTTCAACCATGGCAATTTGAAGTCAACAACATAGTCATCATGTGAAGAACCTTTCTCAGTCGGAATGTTGACTCGGATATTCACATTTGCCAACGGTGCAATCTTTGACAATTGACTTCTGAGAATGTACCTTGTTTTCACACATGACTCAAGATACTTCATCTTCTCATCTGTAACAAGACCAGAGTTCCTGAGACATGTAAGAATACAAGGTTCATTGACAATTGTTTCAATTGAATTGTAAATTCCATACCTTGTCAGGTTAATGTCAGACTTATTTCTGAACGGGAAATACCCAGCATGTTGTCTGACTGCTTGAGGGTTAGGTTGTAACCATTCGAACTTCACGCTTGCAATTCCTTCAATTGCATTCAAAATATCTGAGTCGGAGTCAAACATTTGTTCTCTCTTTGTAGTCTTGAAAGCGTCAAGAAGTTGTGCGGCTGTTGTGACATTGCCATGTGAGTAGTATATATGACCATCTAAATCTGTTACGGTTAGTCTGAGATTGTATCCTTTCTTATTTCCGTCTTGAATTGCAGCAAGTACACCCATGAAGCCTTCTTTGTTCTTTCCTTCTTCAAAGTTTACTGTAAAGGTTCGACCAGATGTAATTTTACTTCGAACTTCGCGATACTTCTCATATGCATATCTTGTTCTTTCCATGGGAGCATGTGCGTCTTCACCTTTTCCTTTTTTCCTCCTCAAAGGATTCAATTGTTCGTTATGTTTCCAGTAGAATCTGGCAAAGCCGTCGTGTCCTTCAACCTGTGGCTCAGTAACATCGAAAGGCATGTCCATAAGACGTTCTTCTTCTAACCTCTCAAGTCTGTTTGGATAGTTGGCGCGCGCTGTTTCTAAGTCCATCTCATAGGTCAGATCAGACAGTTTGTCATAGACTTTTATTGGCTTTCCCTTCCTATATTTAAACTTCTTTGAAACTCTCCAACCATATCTTTCTAACTCTGCTTTTATTCTAGCAGATTTTCTATCCATTCTATACGGGGGCATTTTTATAAAAATAAAAAAATGTTTTTTCTTTACTTTACGTAACCACCCGCTGCCAAAAGTCTTTGACGCCAACCCATACCAGCTAATGAAGGTTGACTTGGTTTAGTATTGAAACTAACCTTTGGTTTTGGTTTATCTTCAGTTTTTGGTTTTTCTTCTTCTATTGGTTTTTCGTCACTTTTCGGTTCATCTGACTTTACTTCACTTGCTGGTATGGTTGTGTCGTTAACATCTTCATAAATGTCATATGCCATTTGTTTCTGTTTTCCTTTCAACTTTTTGTGTTTGTTGTAAAGTTTAGAATATTTCGACTCTAAGTCAATGAGATGTTCTATAATGAACTGTTGGTCAGTGAAGTAAACTTTTCCATCTGTTGTCTCTTTAGTTCCTTCAGACTTCAATATTTTATTTGTGAGAGTCTGTTTCTTTTTTGAGATACTAGCCGTTCCATTTTTATGAAAAGTGACTTTGTAGTTAGAGTTTGTATTTCCAGACCTCACACTTTCTATTATTGAATTTTTCTCTTCATCTGTAAGTTCTTTGACAGGTTTTGACAATGGTTCTGAACTTTTTGTTTGTGGTGTCAAATCTACCGTTTCAACTTCTTCGGTCATTTCATCTCAGTAAAAAATTTTAGTTTGTTTTGTTTTCAACTGGTTGTTTAGGTTTTTTAAGTCGGTCTAAAACTTCTTGAGGTATAGGAAGAACTTGACAAACACGTGGTTGTGTAACTGCTGGAAGCCGACAAAGCCATCTTGAGCCCATTTGTCTCAATGCTGTATTGTTCATTTCATCTCAGTAAAAAATTTTACATTCCCCACGTTTGAGGCGGTTGAGGTTGGTTGTTGTTTACCCACTGTTGTGCATGGTTATATCCTCTGTTAAAGAATCTTTCACCTTGGTCCATGTAGTGTCCTGCTTGGTTATAGTAGTCATTTGCTTTGTTATAGTAGTTTCCTGCTTGTCTTCCTACATTGTCCATCCATCCTTGAACTTTTCCTCTTGTTTCAGGATTTGGAATAAGATTTGCTGCATCTCGTGCTACATCCCAACCTTTCTGTACAGTTTGTATAATAGGTTGTGCTTTCTCTTTCAGTATACCTAATGTACTCAAAATCTTCCTTCCAATTCCAAATGCACCTCTGGCTAGTGTTCCCACTGCTGGCAAAAATCTAGATGCGACTCCTGCTATTGCGCCAAATAAACCCATTTCTTATGGGTTAAAAATGACGAATTCA